GAATGGGCGTAAGGTAGGTCATTGCCACATCAATAGGATCGATCGATGTACTTTCCTTTACTGCCCTAGCTGAAGAGCCTTCACACGGAATGACCCTAGAATCGTTCGCACCACTAAAGGTGCTTATCCAGTAGCTTTTTGAAGAAGTTACGGTTATGAGAATTGGTGCGAGCCATTATAGTTGTAACACAATAGAAAATTTAACTAAGTTAAAAATTGGTTGTGAACAAATCGGACAAGAAAAGACTATTTACCATAATCGTCTTGACTAAGGTTACAGGATCGAAAGCATTTAAGTAGCTCTTTAGTCAAGAGTTTGGGGGAAGTTGCTCTAAAATGTCTAAGAGTTGAGCATTCTTCGAGGTCATCATCGATGACTCGTAAAAGGTCTGACCGAACAGGATTTCAGGTCCAATATAGAGGGAATTTTGGTCGATTGTTCCCATCGAAGAATATTTTGCGGTCCTTGGACGTTATGACGATCCTGAAGAACCCTCCCTTGAAGCCCTTATAAGAAGTGGCGAAAAGCTGGAAGAGGTTTCGGTCGATCTTGCTTATTAAAAAAACACATCCCTTCTGAGTAATCAGATGGGTGCCATAGTGATGAAGGAATAAGGTTGAGTTAGGAGTGAGGCCCAAAGCCTTGCATAAAATGTTGGGCACCTACATAGCCTTCTAGCCGTTTGGGTGAAGCTGAGTGGGAACGACATTCAACTCCCGCAAGACTCGAGCTTGAAAGTCCTCAAATGGCAAGTGCACGAACAGGTTAGCAAAGAAACAGGAATAAACAAAAATGAAATCCAACTTTGAATTCTCCCAACCATGACATTGCCTCGCACACGCAGAGGTGCACGACATCATCATCCACGTCATCCCTCAGAATAAAAGTTTAGTCAGCAAGGTTTCCCCATCTGAAGTAGGTAATGTTCTCGCAAACCTCATGTGCAACCCACTTATACCCACGAGCCTTTGGAAGATTCAGGTCGTCCCTATTAGAGGTGGTGTCAACGTGAATCTCCCTGATTGTATGGTCACTCCTTTCCCCTTTGGCCTCCTCTTGACCCTCGTTCCTGATCAAACCATTATTGATTACATGTACAAGTATCGTGACGTTACTTACCAATGCCAAGCTCCGCTCGAACGATCCCTAATTCTTAGGAGATGACCCAAGCGATGATGATGACGTATTAGCATATCCCTTACCCTCCCGACCAAAGGAGCCTTTCAAAGAGGTGTCAATGCAAACATTATAACCTTGAAATTGGAAAGAATTTGAAACGGTACGATGTAGAAATGAATGCAAGAGAAAAAGTTGTGAAAATGACAGGACCACTAGGTCCCTATTTATTAGAGCTGTTAAAACGGGCACCCGACTTGGCCCACCACGGGTGGGTCACTTAGTGAGCCAACCCAACCCGACTCACTTATTACTGAGCTGAAAAAATTTGAACCCGACCCGACCCACCACAGATTGGTGGGTTAAACGGGTTGGCTCACTAACTCACTTAATTACAATTTTTTTAAATAAAAAAAATTATAATTTTTTTAATTTAAATCTAAATAAATTTCACTCTAAAATGATGTTAAACTCCAAAGACAATTCAAAATAAAAAAAAATATCATACAATCCAAGCGTAAATAAGCACAAAAAGCAAACAAATAAGTTTTTAATATTGATAATTTTTGTATCACTTGTCCATTTATAATATTAGAGTCTTGAATAGAGAAATCTATAATATTTTTCTCTCTTGAAACATATTTTTTTTATCCTCATGTACAATATAATAAAAAAATACTAACTAATAATATTGAAACACAAAATAATAAATAATTAAATTAAATTAGGTGGGTTGGTGAGTCAACCTGGCTCACCACGGCTTCAACACGGATGAGCCAGGTTCTAAGTGAGTCGGGTTCAAAACTAACCTGCATAAAACAATTACATTTTTTTAAACCCAACCCGGCTCAAACCCGTGGTGGGCCGGTAGCTCGCGGGATTACAACCCATTTTGACAGCACTACTATTTATAGAAAACCTGGAGACACTTGGTGCCCTCACAAGTGTTAGATCTTGCACCATCCATAAATAAAACTATAAATACAGGTCAAAAGTTTGGTTGTTGAAACTTTTTATTACGTATTTATTATAACAATAATTGCTTAACCGATCGAATTTGAGCTCACTTTAGCGTCCGAGCACCTTTAACAACTATACCCTACCGTAGAGAGGATAAGATTAGAAAAAAAGACCACGAAATTATTTTAAGTAGACGGTCGACCCTATATCCAAAAGATTACTTTTATCATATCTGAATTCAGATTTTCAAATTAAAATATCATATTTCATGTAACTTGAATAGATTGAAAAAGATGTATGTTACTTCTTACATTCATTGTTTAGCAAAAATGAATGAGTGAAATTTACTGGTGTATGTAAATTCCAAACATTTAGCAGTAACTTAGAAAATTTAAAGTGCTGCAGGGTAGGATTAATGTGTTAAGTATTTAGTTTGAGAAGAAGGGACAAAGTAAAATAATTGTTGAATGATACGAGGAAAAGAAAAGTACAAGTAGTCAACCTGACCCCATTTGGACACGTGTTCATCCGACACAAGCTGATGGGAATAGCGTTCAGCCGTGATGCCAGGGTGGTGGTGCCATGCACAAATTATTACACACAATCACTTATCTATAATCTCAGTTACTTATTACATTACATATATAATATTTATAATCAACAACATTAATTACGCTTCAAGATTAATCAGAAATATATAATCTAAAATCAGAGAAGAGTTAGTAACCATAACCTGAAAATGTTAAGATTAGTAATGTCTCAGTAAGCTACTGTTTTCAAGCACTTATTTATTTGTAGTAAAGATTTGTGATAAACTTTAAAAACACATGTATAATACATGGCAGTTAAATTGCTCTACAAAAACCATTCGTGCTATGTGTGCTGTTATGTGGACACTTTCTAGTGCTTGTCTTATCAGCAGTTTGAAATCCTTGCCCTCTGTCGTTAATAATATTTGGCAATTTTCCTGTTTAAGTTCAACCAAAAGTTTTCCTCCAGTAACTAAAGTTAAACCAGATATGTCCAAAGTATAATGCTGTTTCTTACAAAACAAAACCTGTAAGGTATTTTATATTGATAAAGGAGAATATATGCTATAAAAAAAGTTATATCAGACTAGTTAGTGAGTGTGTTAATTTGGTTAACAAACAAAATGAACATATGCACATTAATGCTGTGAGTTTGGATGATTTTTGAGATTCTAAAACGTACTTTTCAAAGGGTAAAATTGATTTTGGATAAAAGACATGTAGAATTAATTGTTCTGGCAAACTGTAAAAGCAATCATAAGAGAAACTGAGTTTTAAGCAAGAGAGAAAAAAACAGGAGCAAAAACTGAACATAGATATGTATCCAACTAAAAAGAAGCAGTGTTGTTGCTTAAGATGGACAAGTTGTACATTATACTGTGAGTGTCAGAAGGAATATTATAGCACTTTTCACATGTCACAGGTCCATATCTTTGGAACCATCGATGTGGTACATTACTTGCAATCTTGTAATTCTAGTTAGGCATTCAATGTGCATAACCTAAAAGCACTAGTTTAGGGGTGTAGGCTCTAGCAGAAGCTAATTGGGGCAGGTGAAATCCAGGAATTGGTCTGGTAAGTGTGAGACATTCCCATGCAAGTGTTGGTGATCTTCCTCACTCTGAGTTGTTTTTCTTGGCTGCCCATGCCTCGTTTCCACTAAGATTAAATCAACTATCCATGTGTGCCACAAGTTCCTACACTCATTTCATCAACAAAACTACAATAGTCTTTTTCCTTTTGTTTTTATTCTGACCAGTCACAGAGCACAATAGTGAATTGCTAATGAAAATACTTCCTTTTATACAATACACACTCTTCAAACAGTAGTACTCTTTCAAGTTCCAAGACACATGCCCTTGCATTTCTAGGTTGCAAAATATCCATTATGGGAAATTTTCAGATTTGGCTTAGGCACAAATTTTACCATATATAACGCTTTGCTTGTGCATTTGTGATCTGCTACCAGATCTACACGACTATTTGCGCAATTATAGTTTCTTGGTACGAAAATTAACTGGCATTCTAGTCTAGTGGAATTTAAAAAACAAAAAAAATAAAGAAAAAATAAACTAAGCTACAAATTCCATATATCTATTTTGCTGATATTCATATACATGTTTCTTTAACTTTATTTTAACATATATGCAGTGTTTGAGCTTTGTTATGGTTCATAATCCTCTGCATTAAATGAAGGGCACTTTATAAAATGGTTAGAATCTAAAAGGTCTGCTTATGTGTGCTCATGAATCTGTTGTTAAGATTGTGTAGAGATTAGCTCCACCTTTCACACTCTCCAAGCCTATAAAGTGCAATTGTGTGATCTAATGGTTAAAACCATGACACGCCACATCCTAGTCAGAGTAAGAACCGGCAAAAATATTGAAAACCCTGTGTTGTTTATGAAGGAAGAGAACTCAAACAAATTCCAAAGTAGTAAGTAATAACAAGAATGTACAAGAGAGAATGTCTTTTATGCTATAAATATAAAAGGGTATAAAGCAATAAGCTAAATAGTAACAATAATAATAATTTAACAATGGAATGAACCAATGTGGGGGAAGTATTTGGTGAGAAAGAGAGACACGTATGGGGTAGGAAATTGTGGTGAGACAGGAAGTGAGTTTGGTCAAGTTCAGGGACTTGATGCAAAAGAAAAAATCTAGCTACATCCAATTAAGCCATGAAATTCATCAAAATCTCATCATAGCTACTTTTCTAATCCCAATGCTCAACCCTCATTGGTTTTCAACACCTGCTCTCAAGGAACTTTAATAGTTACTGCTTAAAAAGTGACTCCATTACCATTAAAACACCTGGCACCTGCCTCTCTCTCTCATTGTCAGTATCATCCAACCATCATTACCACCTTTTCTCCTCACATTATATATATTTATTGCTACCTAGCTAGTACTTTCAGCTTACGCACTCTAAGTTCATTCATTTCCTTACCCTTAACCTTAGGCCTCCCACAATGAAGGTAAGTCTCCTCTTTGTGTTGCTATTGTGTGAGATTGGTTATCTCAGTTTAGTGTTAGGAAAATGTTGATGTTATATAATCTGAATGTTTTTGTCACTTGCAGTTCCTCAGCTGGATGCAAAATAAACTTGGAGGAAAACATGACAACAGAAAACCAAATACACACACAACTACTACATGTAAGTGTTTTTATTATTCTGATAACTAGATTTTCCTTGTGTCAATGCATGATGTTTCTAGCACCAATAAGATGAAAGAACACACTTGCTTCTATCTGAAGGAAGGTGACTTGATTCGAAACATATAGAGGAAGACAGGGAGAAGACAAGTTTGTATGTTCAATGTATTTTCATATTTCTCTTTCCCTCTCTCTCTCTCTCAAGTTTCATTTCCAATCAAACAAAAGACCATATACAGAATAACGTTATTTAAATCAAAGGTGCTCGTGCGTAGGATACTAGGCACTTGAAAATGTTAAAATGGCATTGGTAGTTCTAACTAGGCATCCTAGTATAGTTGTAACTTGATCCGAGGAAAACTCATCGAAGAGTACTTTCAGTAGAATAACATTAATCGTTTTCTTGGGAATCTTAAAATAATGGTTTCTTTTGGTTTTGTGCACAGATCATGCAAAACAAGAACCTCGAGAGGAATTCAGTGATTGGCCTCATGGTTTGCTAGCAATTGGAACATTTGGAAATAACAGTGAAATCAAAGAAAACATAGATGATCAAAATGTGCAAGAGGATCCATCCTCGTCAGAGGAAATAGCAGACTTCACTCCTGAAGAAATTGGGAATCTACAGAAGGAATTAACAAAACTCCTGAGACGAAAACCAAAGGTGGAAAAGGAAATATCTGAGCTTCCTCTAGACAGATTTCTTAACTGCCCTTCAAGCTTGGAGGTTGATAGGAGAATCAGTAATGCGCTATGCAGTGAATCAGATGATAAAGAAGAAGATATCGAGAAGACATTGAGTGTGATAATTGACAAATGCAAAGACATATGTGCAGATAACAAAAAGAAAACAATTGGGAAGAAATCTATTTCTTTCCTTCTGAAGAAGATATTTGTTTGCAGAAGTGGATTCGCTCCAACGCCTAGCCTTAGAGATACCCTTCAAGAGTCAAGAATGGAGAAGGTAACCCTTTGTTTTGTTCATAATCTTTCACTTCCCCAATTAGGTGGAGAGATCATTACATGGTCTCATATATATCATCATAAACAAGTTTTTCAAAGAAAGAGTTAAGAAAACCTTGTGATGTATCACACAGAAATTGATTGGAACTAAAAACAAACAGTGGTCTGAGATCTTAGATTAATCTCTAACCTGTGATGAAATATACAGCTTTTGAGGACAATGCTTCACAAGAAAATTTACACCCAAAATTCTTCTCGGACATCATTCATGGCAAAGTGCATAGAGGAGAAGAAGATGACAAGGAAGAGGAATGATGATGAATCAGACGAGAGAAGTGGTGATGGCAGTAAATGGGTGAAGACTGATTCTGAATGTAAGTTGCATTTTGTGATATAAATCTGGTGAATAATGTGTCTGACTTAAGTTTGTATGATTAATATATAGTGTCCTTTTCTTTGATGCAGATATTGTGCTGGAGATATAATAAATCTGCTTCTATTTTTACAAGCTCTTTTAGTAGCTGTTGGGGTAAAGATGAGTTAATGTATAATATATATAAGAAGTAGATTTGATAAGAGTTAATTGACAGTAGTAGTACTTTCGTATTTTGAGGTCAGATTGCATGAAAAAGAGAGAGGGATATATGTATGTATATGATGATGGAGGCTATGGAGTGGAGATGAGATTTTTTGAAATGAAGACAGTGTGTTATTTTTTCATGGTTTTGTGTCTGCAAAGGCAGAAGAAGTCATGTTGTGGAAAATGATAGAATGGGTTTGTGATATGTAAGGCAAAGTTAGACAATTTGTGTGATGTGCACACTTCTCATCCCTTTTTT